ACTACGCTAGATGATGTGTTAAATAATATTAACGAAACGCACACAGGACTTGAAGATGATTTTAAGAAATAAATGTTTCTTTGGAAGAAAAGTCTTTTTAAAGAATACCAATAGATCTTACATTAGAGCAATCTATTAGTGCTGGTCCAGCTAGACGATTAAGTGGAATTTTACATTTTACTAACTCTATAGCAGCACGTCAACGCTGGACAAAGAGCCACAGCATTAGAGCTGCGTTAATTTCTCATGCTCTTGATGTTTGTGGGTTAAAACAATATCAAGCCGTTACTGCAGATTTGAAACCTAATAGAATAAAAATTTATGCAAAACAAATATTAGATCTTGTTAATATACTTGAGAACAATTTTAATCCATTCAATTCAAGTTTAGATCGAGATAATCTTTATAACATCACTACAGCCAAGCCTACTACTACAGGTGTTGCTGAATTTTTAGTAAATATTGAAAAGAATGGCGATATTTTAAGAAAACAGTTCATCAACGAATTTGCTGATAATGAAGACAGATTCGACAAACCTATTAAAAAAAATCGAGTGCTTAACTTTGCTGCTGCTCCGAAAACAAAAACTAAATCCTGGTAATAAAGTCGTTGAATTTAGAATGCAAAGAGACATATTTGGTCGAATGTTGGGAATATCTCTAAAAATGGTATCAATAAAATTTGGAGGACTCGTAGTATTGTCACCAATTCCAATTAATAAATTTTTCCAAATTATATATCTTTATATATTCATATATACACAATAACTTTTACTGATAACATTAACTTTTAACGTCTATCAGAAAACTCCAAACTCTGACGTCAGGTCGTCGCCTTATATAGCTTGCCTCTCCTTCTGGAAATTTCTCGAACAATTTCTTTGACAAGGAATGACATTTCGAGACTTTTCGGGAATATTCTATCTTCTTCATTTACTCGTACCTTTACTTATGATGACCGCAGCACGATACAGGGTCTAGTTATTCGCCCCAAATAACTTGACTACTTGGACCCAGTTAGAGCTAACGGAAAGGATCTGGATCACGGCATGGCGCTAACTTCCCAATGTGAACTAGCTTGAATTTACTTCCTGCTGACAGCTGAATGCGGTATATCAGGTCGTTGATTTTCCTTAAGGACGGCGTAGGGGCCTTCCCAGTTCCGTTGCGATTTCTGGCAAAATCCTCCCGTCACCTCTCTCAAAATGTGTCCCTGTGGCACGCCTGTCGATTCTAGCTTCTGGCTTCCAGTCGTTCCCGAGCGAATCCGTAGACATTTGTCCTGCCATTGCATACATCACATTTTTTACACCAATCCGCTATATCCCGTCGGCAATTGACCCAATAAAATCTTTCCCGAACTCGTGCCAGTGTCTTTTAGTACCAAAATGTCCTCCCGAACGGCTACAATGAAGTTCCTCCAACACACTTCTGACATGTGATTTTGGCAGTACCACTTGGCGGACTACATGCACTCCATCAGAGCTTGCCCACTTCCGGTGCAATAGGCCATCGTGAAGATACAGGGAATCACACTGAGTCCAGTACCCTTTAATAGCTCCACTGTATTTGACTATCTCTTGCCAAGTAGGTGTAACTTTATTTTTGAGCCATTCTCGAACAATTTTCAAATCAGTCTTTCTTCTGTCCCTTTCTCAGGCTTTCAAGGGTGATTCCTTCTTCATCGCCCTCTAGTTTGATAGTGGTTGCTCGAAGGGTAACTTTATCAACTGGTTTCTCCCGTTCTCCGAGCCCCTTACTATACCGGCATTCTCGTTCTAAACAGGGTCGCCTGGAGAGAATGTCTGCGTTGCTATGGAAACGGCTTCTACGATGCTCTACTTCCTGAATATTGCTAGAAAGCCGGCTCGGTGTGGGTGATTGACTTCTTCGGAACGCATAGCTGCTGTGACTATTTCTTGCCGGACTTCGTGACGGGCTTCGAAAGATTGATTTATGTGAGTTTCCGGCCTCATTTCCTGATTTTCTATTCATAAAACGAGCTCTGCTTCTACAGGTTCTTTGAATGTGCCCGATTCTTCCGCAATTAAAGCATCTTCTGTTCTCATTTTGACTATTGCGTTGCATATTTTGTAGGATATTTGATATTTTCGAGAGGATAGGTTTGAGAATAGCATTACTATTGGCCTCCTCACTTTCTTGTGATTTAATTTCTCTTATTTTTGCACGAGAAGATCTGGATAGGAGTTTTATCGCTTCATATTCCTGAGCTGCAATCAGTTTCTCCCTCAGCGTCTTGTCATGTCGTAGACGAAAGACTTGCTGCATTTCCGTATCTTGTAGTCCATCAATGAATGCTTGTATTCCGAGTTGTTCTTGGAAATCTTTCGGCACCTGTGGATAGGCCAGATGAATCAACCTTCTTGTATCAGCCTCAAATTCCTGCAGACTCTCATTATGTTTCTGACTACGAACTTTTAGCTGGCTTTGGAATACCCGTTGCAAATGCTGCTGGCCATATCTTGTCTCCAAAGCTTGGACGAGAGATGAATAACTGGGTTCCTCTTGAGGAAGTAACTGTAAAATGGTTACTACCTGACCTCGCAGTGACACTATTAATAAAGCCGCCATCTCTTTCTCCGTCCATCCATTGGCTCTAGCTGCAGCTTCAAATTGGAGTCGATATAATTTCCATGTTGTCTGACCGTCAAACGTGGGTGGTTTAAGGGTCGTGCTAGTATAGTGAAACTGGGATTCGAATGTGGCTTGGTTCGGTTATGGATGAAGACGAGGTAGTAGTGTTTGCAGCTTCAATGCTGTTTACTAAAGCTTAGCTGTAAATTCTTTTTTCTAACTTAGCCATTTCAGCTCTAATTTGCCTTTACAACTCTACTCTAGCCTGTTCTTGTTGTTCTAAATTAGCTTTCAAATTGTCCTATTTCTCTAAATTAGCTTTTAGATGTTCTTGTTGTTATTCCAACAGATCTATTCTAATTTTAAGCTGACTAACCTCTTGCTTGAAGGTTTCCTGGATTTGTAGCAAACCGTTCATAATTTCTACCTCAGCTTTCCTAAGCCTTTCTTTTTCCTCCTCCTCTTCTTCCTTCTTACGCCTTTCCTTTACCTTCTTTTCTTCTATCCTACGCTTTTCCTTTTCCTCGTCTTCATTCTTCCTGCGCCTTTCCTTTTCATCTTCTTCTTTCTTCCTACGCCTTTCCTTTTCCTCATCTTCTTCCTTCCTACGCCTTTCCTTTTCCTCCTCTCGCCTTTTCTTTTCCTCTTCTCGCCTTACTCTTTTCTCTTCCATCTTCAAAAACCATGCTGGTGGGCCTGAGATATCCATGCTTGCTTTGTACTCAGTGGATCTAGTATTTACCATGAACTTTTACTTTATATCCCACCGCTGTCACCAATGTTACGCTGGTTTTTGGTATCACAATTTATTTGAACTCAACTTTTACAATAACTCAATTCAACTGACACAATAACTTTTACTGATAACATTTAACTTTTAACGTCTATCAGAAAACTCCAAACTCTGACGTCAGGTCGTCGCCTTATATAGCTTGCCTCTCCTTCTGGAAACTTCTCGAACAATCTGGACTTTTCTTTGACATGGAATGACATTTCGAGACTTTTCGAGAATATTCTATCTTCTTCATTTACTCGTACCTTTACTTATGATGAATGCAGCACGATACAGGGTGCTGCGTAACAATACTTAATAATTAATTAATTCATAATAGGACAGTTACCTTTATTTCAAATTCCAGTAATATAATAATTTTATAACAAAATACTAAACAATTCTCAATTTTTATAAGATATTTCCTTTCATGTTTAACAATAATTTTGCTAATTTTGCTGATTTCACAAACTATGGAAACTACAAATAAAATATCATTAGTTGTATTAACTTGTTAAATATGCAAAATCAGCAAATAAGTCTTGAAGGTAAATGTTCTAACAAACAGGAGGCAGTCAGGAAAGTCCTAATTCCTGACCAACATCTAAAAAGCTCCGCCGATTTTTACTTAAAATAAATAACTTAAAATAAAATAAAAAATAATTTGTGGACGTGCCCCAAACAATTAATGCGGTAAGCATAAACATTTTTAAACCATTTTTTGTATGTCTATTTCTGGATTAATAAAAGTGTTAGTTTTGATTAGTGATTTTATATTTATTATTGTATGTCTATTTTAAAAATCTATTTCTGGATTAATAAAAGTGTAAAGTTTTCATTGGTGATTTTAATATCTTTTTTCCAACAAGCAGAAGTTAAAGTAACAGTTAAATTAATAAGTACTACTCACCAGGTTGTATTTTGGGTCGATTGGACTTTATCCAAACCTTGGAGAAGTTCGAGCTACCCGGAATATAGCGTGACGAGCTAGAGCTCGTCGTGGCGTCATCAGATAGATCTGAGCTACCCAAGCCCCTAAAAAACTACCCTGATAACCCACGACGTAACAGTATTATATTTAATAAAACGTTATAGTGGTGTGGAAGTAGTGATTCAGGTTGTACCAGTTTTTTTGTATCTCTGTTTAATACTGACACGTCCTATATAATCCAATGTCTTGGTAACAAGCTCAAAAGAGTAATTTAAAAACACTATTCCTTGCCTTTATGGGCATTTCATGAAACTGCAATATTTTAATTTAGGCGGTTGTGTTACACTCTTCGAAACAATTGTCATTAAGAATTTTTAATTTTTATTTTTTTATATAAAAGAGTTTGTGAAAAATCTACTAAGTTTGGTATTTCTTATTTAGAAAATATTAAATACACCACTGATTTATCACATTTACAATATGGCGCTTACCATAAAAAACGTGCCAGTCGAGAACGACTTGCCGATTCAATTCAGCAGAGAAAAACAATATTTCTATCCAATAATTTACACGAAATTTTTCTTATTTTATTGCATAGACATAGTTTTATTGCCTCAATAAACCGTTGGAGTAACACGAGATTTATATAATATGTCGCACGTGCTAAATGGTACATAACCTAATACTTTTTCTTATTTACAGAAATGAAAAATTCTACACCTGCTGTGATGAACCATATCTAGATATAACTTTTAATATTACCATGAGAAGGAAAACCCTCTTCTACACCGTTAATATCATTATTCCTTGCATGGGAATTTCGTTCCTTACAGTGCTCACGTTTTATCTGCCGTCAGACAGCGGAGAGAAGGTAAGATTGTTTTCTCAAATGAATTTTTAACTTAACTAAACATACTCACTTAATCCGAAAACCCATCCATCTTCCGGCGGAGGCTTGGAAGTTTAAGTTAGAGTAAACATTTATTTCATTTCGGAATCTTTTACTAAAAGCTTAAACAGCGTATTTCCTCCAATTTGTCTTAAATCGAATAAATTTTAAATTTGCAATTTAAAGTAATTCTTTATTATCTTTGAAAATTATCTAGCTTCTTTAAAAATCACTAATTTTCTATGAGAATTTAGATAATCGTACTGGTGAAAATATGGTTTACAGTGTGTGTATACGCTGAATATATACAGGATGAGGCAAAAACAGGTCGATTTGTTTTCCAAACAGGACAACTTTCTATCATGAAAATAATGAAAATGCGCCATCTTAAATTTATACCTTTTAAGATAGATAACCGTATGAAATTGTCCTCCTTTCCTCTACTCTCCATAGTTCGTTCATTCCTTTCAATGCCGTTTTAGTAAGTTTAAGTGATAGTTAAGAAAAAATGCTGCTCATTAGGCATTTCTACATGTTCAAATGGCTGCCTAATTTGGCATTCCAACGACCTGTCAAAATGCGGCCAGTGGGAACTGACAGTTTAGATATGGCAACCCTATATGGGCCTCCCAACTAACAAAGAGGCTCTATAATTTTTAGTTTACCAAACTATTATATTTTATTGATATTGTATTATATTGCTATTTCTGGAATACTAATTTGTTGTACCAAAATTGCAGAAACAACTATTTTGTTCTCTGAAACTGAATTGTTATATAAATTAGTTTTTACAATATTCTCACTGCAAAATTATAAAATAGTTTTCACGATACCTATAAAATTGTTACATAAACATTTATACAACTATTATATATAATATTTGAGCTAATAAAATTAAATTGCTTTATAGGGATTCCATATTAGGCATTCCAACGACCTGTCAAACAATAGATGCCAGTGGAAAATTCTTGTATATCTAAGGGGATAGCGACATAGTCTTGCAACTTGGACGCTATTTTTATTCGAAGTAGTAGTCGCTAAGCCTGCCAATTTATGAAGAAATGTATAGGTGGGCTTTTTAAATATTATTTTTATTGTGTTTGACATAAAATATTTAAATGTAATCCATTATTCATGAATTTACGTAAAGTAGATAGAATACACCGTATGTCGCCACCCTTAGATATACCAAACCTTCCCACTGGCAATTCATTTGTTTGGAATGCCTAATTGTTGGTTTAAAACTTTTTGGTTATACAAATACAACTGTCTTTTAAGATCATAATAACGCTTTTGATAAAAACTCTAAAATAACTGTAATGTAGTATGTAGTGTCAAAATACACTTTTGCAAATTAGAAAAGTATATAGGACTATTATAAATCAATATTTATTTTACTTAGGAATAGTACTATCCTTTTAAAATTATTAAAAAAAAATAGAAGCAACTACATTTGGTAGAAGCTACACTATATTATTTTGTATTTTATGTTTGTTCAACTACTTCCCATACCATTTGTATGTGAGTGTATGGTCTGAAAATGTTAGATTTAAGTAAATAAAGAAATATAAAAATAAGTGGTACCTGCTTTTCAGATAATAGTAAAAAATATTAGCAAAACATTTTGCCGTTTTGTCTAGACAATCAAAAAAAAAGCATCATTCAGCCAGATAATAATTCTGTTCTGAATAATCATGGCCAAATACTAAAAGAAAGCAATATCTTTGGCGATGTACATGTGAAACTTGCCTATTCTAGCATTAAAATAAATTATGCTTGCTCTATAAAGTTGTAGAAACAAATCTAATCATTTCAATTGTCAAATACTTAAATTACAAACGATTTAGTAAGGTTATAATATATTTTAAGTCATACAGTGCAGCAATTTTAAATTATTATACAACAAACTATGATGAACTTGTTTTGTAGGAATTACTGACACAGCTTAATTATTGTATCACATTTGTTTTTATTACAAAATATTTTAAAAATATGATTTAGTCTTAAAATAACTTCCTGATACTTTTGAATAGCCGCCATATTAACAAAAATCTACACAGTTCTAAAGCTAAATATGCCTTCGGTTTTATTAGTTTATGAGACAAAACCAATGTAATTAAACATTTTTTATCATTAGTAATATTAGCATAATCTTATTACTAAAAAAAATCGAATTGCATAAATTTAATTTTTTTACACTGAAAAAATATTAGAAAAATGAATCAAACTCGAGGCGCTTATAAATTTAGTATTGTATGTGCTATATAATTAACAGCAGTTCTTGCTGCGCATCAAAAAAGGACTTTATTGTGGGTCATGCATTATGGCTAAACATTTGTGTTCACCAAATACGTTTAAAAAACTAAAATGTTACTGATTTTGATATTTAGCTCAAAATTAAAAACTTATAAAACAGTTAAAAGTTTAAAAAAAAATTTGTTTGAAGTCTGTGTAAATGTGTAGTAACGGTCCGGTAACTGCATTCAACAAATCTTATACAATTTATAAATGAACCAAATATTTCTGTAATACTGCGCCCATTTTGTGTTTATTACTGTTGAAAGAATGTTCCGGAAATGTTCTTCTGTATTTTTTTTATAAAATATCAAATTGTTACTTAGGCTGTTGGCATTGACAGGGTCAATGATACATTTATGGTTATATAGATTGTTCAAAGCGGGTCGTTTGCGAGCGGTCATATTGCCTGGCAAATGTTTATTAAATTTGAACCGTTTTAGCAAAAATGTGTTTTAAAACCAATTTCCAGCCTTTGAATATTATAAAGAAAGATAATTGCCTACATTTTTACTTCAAGGCATAAGCTTATGTTTATTTTTAAAAACATGGATGATCAATATAGACCAATCTTGTGGAAAAGTTCGATATCTTCCTTGTTGAAAGAGATATTAAAAAAGTGTATTAAGAAAATTATGGACAGGTTTGAGGTTAACATTTTAAAATTATTGGGAGGTATACAGGGTGTTGCATAGCTCGTGTACGAACCAAACATATGTTGTTTTTTTAATGATAACCTCAGTATATTGTTTTAAATTCTGTTAATTCATCTTTTTTCCATTCTTCTAATATATGGTTTGTCTATGTCATATAAGGTACTTTTCAAGGAATTGACATTTTTGTGAGAGAATTCTACATAATTCAACGTCCAGCAGCCAATTACACACTGTGGAAAATTTTTTTTTTTACCCACACGAATTTTATAATATGATGTATTATACTTTTTTTAGTTGTTTTATTTTTATTATCTGTTTATTCGTATACAGGGAGACTCAATACTCAGACCCTTGAGTTTCTTGTTTTATTTAAATGGGACACCTTATATTTTATATCACCAGTAAAATCATCTGTCCCAAGCCTTTCATTTTTATTAAGCATTCCCTATACCTAAAGTTAATATTTATCGATATTTTTTAACAATAAATGAAAATTATGGTTATTTCGATAAATTAAACTAGTTTTTCATAAAATACTCTTTATAAACAATAATAAATAATATGTGTGAATACAAAAAAACTCAAAAACAATTAAAACATAATTATAAAAGTTGTTCAAAGTGACCTCCCATAACATCAATACAGTTTTGTAATCGAATTTCGAATGACTGACTCACATTTCTCAGCATTTGAACATCAATACTTTGAAATACATTTCTGATTCGAGTTTTCATGTCCTCTTTTGTCGTTGCAGGCACATTATATACTTTGTTTTTTACATAACCCCACAGAAAAAAATCAATTTTTGTCAAATCCGGAGATCGCGCTGGCCATCATATCGGTCCTCCTCTTCCGATCCACCGTCTTGGAAAGTGATTATTTAAATAATTATGAATTACTACAGTGTGATGGACTGGTTCACCATCGTTCAAAAACCATATTTGTTGGCGAATGTGAAGGGGAACATTTTCGAGTAACGTAGGCAAATGATTTTCAAGGAAATCCAAATATACTGCACTATTTACGCGTCCTTTAAAAAAGTGTGGCCCTATCACATAATCACCCACAATGTCACCCTAAACATTTAATGACCACCTCATTTGGCTATGAGTGACTAAAATGTGTGGGTTTGTTGTAGAATAATAGAGAAAATTAGGCCTATGTAAACCTCCATTTTTACGAAAAGTCAATTCATCACTAAAGAGCACAAAATCAAAGAAATTTCTTTGTTGATTAATTTTTTGTTGGGACCATTCACAAAATATCACTCTATTTTCAAAATTCCGTTCAAGAAGTTCTTTATGTTTTGACAGCATTCTTTGAACAGTTCCGTAACTGACTTGTTGTTGTCTTGAAGTTTTCGTTTACTATTATGCGGATCATCATAAATACTCAACAATACTTTCAATTCATTTTCTTTCGTGATAGCAGTTTTTGTTACTTGTTTTTGCTCGTATGATACAGTACCATCACGATAGAAACGGTCCATTAGTTTTTTAAACGCCTTTTATTTGGTTTCCGGCGTTCCGGATATCGTTGGTGGTACACTCTGGAAGCAAGTAAAGAATTCTTGTTGCACTCACCTAGTATATAAATCATATCCACCATTTCTGGGATAGAAAAATTCGCATTGTTCATCTTATTATTAGTAATTTACTTAAAACATTAACACACAGGTATATTTAATGCATTGGCGACTAGATAAAAAATAACACATATTATTTATTATTGTTTATAAAGAGTATTTTATGAAAAACTAGTTTAATTTATCGAAATAACCATAATTTTCATTTATTGTTAAAAAATATCGATAAATATTAACTTTAGGGAATGCTTTATAAAAATGAAAGACTTGGAACAGATGATTTTACTGGTGATATAAAATATAGTGCTTGAGTATTGAGTCTCCCTGTATACAAACAAACAGATAATAAAAATATAATTAAAAAAAAGTATAAGACATCATATTGATGTTTGTTTATTTTAAACAACAGTTTATTTATCAATAATTTATTTAAACACTTATTTATTTTATAACACTATTATTCTAATTTATATATATTTGGAATGTCTTTAAACTGTTCACGATTTATCTTCACTGTCCATATAATAACTAACTAAAATTATGGTGAAGGATCCAGAACGTTCTCGCCAAAAATTAGAAACACTATCACGTTATATTTGGAATAGACTAGAAATAGTATCTCGTTGACTCTGGAATGTTCGCGAAAGTACCTCCGCCATAGTCGTCACATAGGTTTGGTCTTAAGGGGTTTAATTATGTATAATAATCAGAAAAGTTCAGCCCCAAAGGCCAAATAAGACAGAGAGGGACGTGGAGGGTAAGAGCATGACTGAATAATGAAATGGCTCACATAACAATATTATAAAATTCGTGTGGGTAAAAAAAAATTTTTTCCTACAGTGTGTAATTGGCTTCTGGACGTTGAATTATGCACGATTCTCTCACAAAAATGTCAATTCCTTGAAAAGTACCCTATATACCATAGACAAACCATATATTAGAAGAATGGAAAAAAGATGAGTAAACGGAATCTTAAATATTATACTGGGGTTATCATTAAAAAAAAAACATATGTTTGGTTCGTACACGAGCTATGCAACACCGTGTATACCTCCCAATAATTTTAATATGTAAACCTCAAACATGTCCATAATTTTCTTAATACACTTTTTTAATATCTCTTTCAACAAGGAAGATATCGAACTTTTCCACAAGATTGGTCCATTCTGTATATTTCTATTTCAGTCTATTTCATTGGCCCTATTAAACCACCAGGCCCACATTGTTGCCATATTATAATATATACATTTAAAATAATAAAATAGGTTAGGCGAAGGTTAAAAAAGAGAAAATACACAGTAAAATCATTAGCATAAAGCTCAGTATTAGGTAATTGAGGTTTGAAGGATGAAAAGGGAATACTAAACAGCCTAAGATCATTGTAAGAGTTAGCTAATTTAAGCATTCTTGAAATGCAACTGTTTAAAGCTTGGTTTGATCTATAAAAAGATACACAAAATGTTTGCGGTTGCCTAGTTGAACGAATTTAAACAAGACGTCCAGGACAATTACATCTACTATTTATAATATTAAATAGCAAAGTGGGATCTCTCTGTTTTTATCTAGTTTCCAAGGAAAGGATGCTCAGAAACTGTTTCATGATATCATATTTACAATTTAAAAGCTATACTATGGCTTGTGCCGCACTTTTTCTAAGATGTCTGATTTAAAAAAAAAAAATAAAGATTTGAATTATATGAATTTTAAGTGCAACACACTGCGAACGGCAGCTTCTCAGTCTGGAGAGCTAGGGTGAATTCGAAATGAAGTTAATGTGGTTGAGTAAAGTAACAATGTCGAGCGCCATGCAACTTGAATACAACAAATATCAATGTCAAACTATAAGACTAAAACTTTCCCAAGTTGCAAAATTTAAAGTTACTTATAATGATTGTATAAATGAAAAGTTTGATATTGACCAATATTCAAATAAACTTTTAAATAAACAATGATAATTAACTTTTTCTGAAAGAGAAAATATATGTACCATAAAAAGAAAAGAAACAACCTATAATATGTCACTCTCAATTTGTTTTCAAATTATATGCAAATTATTGTTTTTTGGTTTGTCTATATGTAAATTATGACCTTTATCATATTACCTTTCTCAATTTAAAAATCTCAATAAAATGAAATTAATGATTAAAATTGTGATTTTTAATTATTAAAGTTAATTAGAAAAAATGTATAATATTAAATAAATATTAATACGACAGAATACCTTTCATAGCTATGTTCGGTTTACAACCCTTTATATTAATTGAATAACGTTTTATGTTCTAAATTATATACCAAATTATAATCATCAATAGTGTTATATTTAAATTAAATAGTTAATAAAAAAAAATGTATTATTCTTATACAAAACCTGGTTTGGTGAACTCGTGGTTCGATCACTGGACTTCAGAAATATCCTTAGATCTTTCGGTAACCGATTTCGGGTAGGCTACTGGTTAAAAGTAAGTTGATCCCATTTGTGACGGATTGTCCAAATGAAAGGTACAGCTGAATGCAGTTGTGAACACAAATGAAAGGTACAGCTGAATGTAGTTGTGAACATTAAACTACGTCTCGCAGAATACTTAGCTGGACTTTGGACTGCTAACTTATAAATCATGGAAGACGAAACCAAATGCGACTACTACAGCTATTTCAACAATTAATTGATGTAATAAACAGGACGACAATATTCCAGATGGTTTATGGATATCTTGATATAAGTACTTCAGAAACCATCAAGTGATGTAGTACAAAAAAATATGAAGGCGTGCTTTCTACCGAATCGTGTCCCAGTGTAGGTCCCTGATAAAAAAAATACGGAAATAATATCTATCCAGAAACGTAAGAAGGAGATTCCTAACCATTTATTAAGGAAGGATAAAACTAACACTAGCCTTCACACGAAATGATGTGTCTCTTTCGGCTTTTCAAACAGAAAGAAACGAACTTGCAAATGGCTACTCAAAGTTCCAGAAAGGTATAAAAAAATATCTACGTTATTTTGAATTTCGAAGTGAATTCAAACAGAATTTAAAATAACAGCTTTTGATTGGTTAAGATCAAAATTTGTATACGAACGAACGAATATATGCAATAACAGTTCTAACTAAGGCCACTCAGTAGTGCAAATTATCAAACTAACAAAAAGAAGAAGTGACATAACCTAACTATTCTAGTCAATCAAAATAAACAATAATTAGATATTAAAAAAAATATATCTACCAGAATTGAATTATATGCACAACAAAACAATTATAGATGGTAATGTATTATAAAGTGATTAAACAAAGTTATTTTATTGTGATTTATGTTTCACAGCTTTATTAAACCCTCTACTGCGGTTTAAATACTATTGAACAATTCAAAGTATATAATAGTTATCAAATCAAATATATGAAACTGTCTTTGCCAAACATTCCACAGAAGTGAAATACTTTAATTGCTACGACTCAAGCTAATTGTTTTATATTGATAGTAATAAAATGGTTAATACATGTAAATATATTCTTCGTAGATTTAAACAAAATATTCTTGTGAAAATATAAATGCTACAGTCTGAGAAAGTTGTGATGAACACTGTCTATTATCCTACTGTGTGTTATATAGTGTAGGGACCAAACGGAAGAGCAATAGTCAAAGTGGGCTCTGACTAGCGAATAATAAAGAACTTTAATTGCAGTTGTATCAGTAAAATCATGGGTCAATCTTTTGATAAAACCCAACATTTTCATAGATTTGTGGGCAGCAGCAAATTTTTGTCCATTAAAGCATAAAATAGGATAAAGAATAATTCCAAGGTCTTTAGTTTGATAATATGGCTATTTAAGTTACACTTAAATGTAGTTGTAGGTAGGTGGGAACGATAAAAACACATGATATGCCATTTAAAGGACACCATTCTGATAAATTATCGAGGTCAGACTGATAGTAGAGTTTAAAAATGATTCTATCGTGTCATTCCATTTGCACTTCATTGCTAAAATGTAATGACTATTTTATATCATTCCATACACCACAAGAGAGCAAAATCGCCTGGTCGTCAAAAAATCGTAGTGTGCAGGGCGTAGTTAAGGGTGGTTTTCCAAAAAATAGCAATATTTTTTTTGCTTAATTTACATTTACACATTTTTAATTATTTGCAAAAGTTTTGTTTCCAAATTCCAAAAGAAAGTATTTAATTTTTAATTTTAAATTATCTGCCTTACACGCTCTTATATGAAGTTCCTTAATATAAAACGGCTCGCACTGAAACATCAAAATTGCAATATCATTTACAACGTGAAAACTCAAGAATGAAAATTCTAATCAAAAAATACTTTCTATAAACGTTGTAGAGCAAATATCAAGGATTAAAATACTTTTTAGAAATTAAAAATCTAATAAATAGTTTCGTCAAAAAACTGTAAAAAGTAAAAACATGTCTTGATGACCGCTCTCTGACGCGGAGTTGCTGGGATGGTTGAAATTTCCTTGACACGCTGTTGCATCTACATGGTACAGTCGTTCGTATGTATTTTTGAGCCTCGTAGGTGGCTTTTCGTTTAAAACAGCAGGAGGTACCTACATTGTTACTATAGCGAGGCGTAACGTTGTGATAATCAAAGATACATCATAAGAATATTATAGTGGTTTTTTTAGTTTATGTATTTTGAGTATTTTTAAATATATTTTTTAAAAGTTTTATTTAATAAACTAATAACAGATATTTACAAAACACAAATATAATCATTTTAAAAATCTCTTTATTAATAATTATCGATTTTTTATTTAAATAATAATTGACTAATCGATTATTTTGCCCACTGTATTTTTTTACTTGACTTTTATAACTTTACAAAATTAATGTTATTTAATTTACTTTTTTTATTTTAGGTGACACTTTCAATATCCATTCTCATTAGTCTCCACGTATTTTTCCTTCTGGTTGTTGAGATTATACCACCAACATCTTTAGTTGTTCCACTTCTAGGAAAGTACTTAATTTTCGCCATGATCCTCGTCTCAATAAGGTAAATAATAAAAATATTTGTTTAAATATTATAGATAGAGTTTAATACATCGACATATTAAGAATAGTTAATCTAGAAACATTTTTTAAATTGGCTACCAATATTACCCGCAAATGTTTTAATGTATAGTCATGAGATGTTGCTGAGAAGTCAGTGGAAGTATTTACTTTTAAAAGAATAAGGTTTCAGATTATTATAGTCCATCGTCAGACTGCCAAAAGTGGCACGTAGTTGGTGTACTATTTCCGGGTGGTGGAAGCAATTATGTGACCATTGCAATTCGAAATAAAGTTTCGTCTCTAAGGGTTTTTGTTTTTTATTTCTCGTTATGAAAAAAAAAAAAAATAATAGAATGACAAAAATTTGATCGAATACATTTGATCAAATACATGTGGTCGAAAACATTTGTTTGAAATTTGATCGAAAAAACAATAATTAATCAAATAACAATTGGTCTAAAAAAAAAATATGATCGAAAAGAACATTGATCTGAAATAGATTTGATTGAAAGAGCAAATGATCAAAAAACCAAATAATTGAACATCATATATTGTATTATTAAAAATTAACTATGAGATAAATTAAATATTAAAAAAAAATCCTCATGGCTAAATACATGCTTAGTATCAAAAAGATCATGTCCGAATTGTCACCCGAATAAGAAAAATAAAAAAAACTAATTTACCTAACCTGTGCGACCTGGAACCATCACCATATTTTACGTTTGATCCAGGCCGCACGGGTTAGGAAGTTGCTTGTAATAATATTCTCTACAATTTTTGTACCATACATATAATTTTTCTAAAATAGTCAGTATTCAAAAATTTTTAGAAAAAACGCAAAATTTAAATTTTTCAAAAAATCAATCAATTAAATTCTGGGCATTTACGGAACATCTGGTGGGTACTTTATAGGGGATCGTTTTTCTACTTTATGGAATATATTCAAAGAAGTAAAGAGGGTAGAACGATAAGGTACCGTCTGCGCATCCATCACGAGTGTGGAAATTATGCGTGATTTAACCTTCCACTCTTATACATGTAAATGACAAGGAGAGGTTGTCCTAAAGCACTGTAAACAAATTCCAGGATTGGCTTTGTTCACCGATTTTGTTCATGTTTAGCTCTGGTTTTTGTTTGTTTTGTGGCTGCTGTAAGCTTCTTTGGCGTCAATTTTTTGTTATCTTGCGTATATTTGTGATTTTTTGTGCTTTTATTTTAATTTAGTATTAAATTATACTTGCTAATTATTTTCAGATGCACTATTTTATAATTGTTGCACAAAATGTTGTTAAACCGTCCCTGAATCTTGTTTACAAAATGTGCAAAACGAAATTGTGCATAGTGTCTAGACTTTTTCATTGACAGTTATCATTCTACCCCTCTCCACTTCATTGATTATATCTGCTATTTACGCTTGGAGTAGAACATTTTTCAACTAAAAGTTGCTTGTAATGTTATTTTCTAAATTTTTTGTTTTATACAAAATTTTCTAAAATTGTTCCTACTCGAGAAATTTGACAAAAAGTGCAGTTCGAATTTTTAAGAAAATTGATCAAATAAAAATGGTTTCTGATATTCAATCTAATACATTTTAGATCTATTGTCTTTTCATTCACTTGTAACCCAATCAAATGAATTTCGATAAAATGTCAATCGATATAATATATTTTCCATCAAATGTCATTCGATAATAGCTATATGTGCATTAAGAGCGAAAAATTATACTTTGTCGCTCGAGGCAGAAAGTTGCCCGAGCGACGCGCAGCGGTCCGCGGCAATCTGTCGAAAGCGGCGACGAACTTTTCGCTTAAAATGCAATCTCTGAAATTTCAAAGCTTTTTAAATCCCTTATTAGTCATATAGCATTTAAATTGGTATTTAAAAAAGTTGTTTGTTTTTTATTATCTTTCGAATGGCCTAAATGAATTTTCAAAAAAAAATCAAATTTTGGTTAAGCAATAAAAACTCTGAAATTTCAAAGCTCTCTAAATCCCTTATTAGCCATATAGCATTTAAAATGGTATTTAAAAAAGTTGTTTGTTTTTTATTATCTTTCGAATGGTCTAAATAAATTTTCAAAAAAAACACAAAATTTTAGTTCAGCAATAAAAACTCTGAAATTTCAAAGCTCTCTAAATCCGTTATTGCCCATATAGCATTTGAAATCGTATTTGAAAAAGTTGTTTGTTTTTTATTATCTTTCGAATGGCCTAAATGAATTTTCAAAAAAAACAAATTTTGGTTAGGCAATAAAAACTCTAAAATTTCAAAGCTCTCTAGATCCCTTATTACCCATATAGCATTTAAAATGGTATTTAAAAAAGTTGTTTGTTTTTTATTATCTTTCGAATGGCCTAAATGAATTTTCAAAAAAAAAACAAATTTTAGTTCAGCAATAAAAATTCTGAAATTTCAAAGCACTCTAAATCCCTTATTGCCCATATAGTATTTAAAATGGTATTAAAAAAAGTTGTTTGTTTTTTTATTATCTTTCGAATGGCCTAAATGAATTTTCAAAAAAAAACAAATTTTGGTTCAGCAATAAAAACTCTGAAATGTCAAAGCTCTCTAAATCCCTTATTACCCATAAAGCATTTAAAATGGTATTTGAAAAAGTTGTTTGTTTTTTATTATCTTTCGAATGGCTTAATTGAATTTAAAAAAAAAATAAATATTGGTTCAGCAATAAAACTCCGAAATTTCAAAGCTCTCTAAATCCCTTATTACCCATATAGCGTTTAAAATGGTATTTGAAAAAGTTGTTTGTTTTTTTATTATCTATCCAATGACCTAAATAAATTTTTGAAAAACACAAATTTCGTGCTAGTAATAAAAGCTTTAGCCCTCTCTACATCCCTTATTATAATTTTAAGAACGGGTAATAATAATTATAATGCAACAAATTATGATTTAATATATTCTTTATTTCGAAATTTTAAATAATTAAATGTTAAAAATTGAGTATGACCGCGTCGCTTTGGCGTCCACGTGAATTTATTGCTGGCTGTCTACTTGTTAACATGACGCAGGTACTAATTTTGTCTTCAAGTGGCTTAAAATCTGAATATTTTTTACTTTTTGATGTCATTTTTCTCCATGTGACAGCAACCAACGTGTTGATTGGTGACCCCAGACTGTCAAAAATACCCCAGACCAATAGGGAAGAGGTGCCGAGGTCATTGAGATTTGAGCCAGAATTTAACATGGGAAGTATAGGGAGTGACAGGCCTGTGCCGCAACCTTCCTTGGCCTGGCAAATACAAAGAGGTGACGCTACCCTACAGCCTTGTGTTCTCTTATAACAACAAAATATTATGAGACACCCATTTAAATTAGGCGAGCAACAAGGCTGTCAACTTTGTCAATAAATGCCTTTGCAGGTATTTGTCTTCCAATTGTGCAATTCCCTAAATAGGAATTTCAACTTCTGAAAGCATAATAATATATTTTATGTTGGGCAAAAAGCAAAAACCATATCGATGCGGAAACGTTACTTTGAATTTCACAGGTTATATTACCGCTTCCATTACACGAGAATAGTACTACGAGTACTTGTTCACATATAAATTACTGTTTGGATATTTTTTTTCTGTTTGTTAATATTTACATGTTTAATGATCAAATACCAATATTTTAAATCCAGTATTCTCTATATATTTTTTATCAAAAATTTCTTGTACATATGGAAATACAATTCAATAAAAAAAATACATATAAAATTACTATAACAATACATTATTCCGGTTTCTAAATATTATACTAAACTTTCATTACATTTGTAAATTGAAAATCGATAATATTAAAGCCTGCAGTTCAGAGCTTATTTGAGGATCCTACCGACTCTCAAAATCTTTCATTTAGTTTTACGACATCCTATTAACTATTTTTGATATGTATTTTAGGTATTGAATGAATCCCTCTAATTAATGAACGAACGAACGCCTAAACACCGTATAATCAGCTAAAAAATGAGGACACAAAATAGGTTCATAAAAATCATCAACCAGTTTCTTTCGTATTAGACAAAAATAAGTAAAAAGTGGATACTCCAATAATTGATACTCGTTTTTTTACACTTCGTATAATGGATATGAAGACAAAAACACGATAAAAGAATAAAAACAATAATATTATATGGACGTCCTGGTATATTCGCTTGAAGGAAGTGATGAAAATGTACAACATAAATTACCGTTGACCATATCCTCTGTCGACTTCCAGCCATAACCGTAAATTTTTCCACGCATTGCCTTCCATCAGACACAATGGAAAAGCGGTAAATGCGTTTGGCGGAGTTCCTCGGCCGTGACAAAGTCGCGGTCGTTAGGGTTTCCTCGATTTTTCTCAACCGCAATGTAAAGATGTCATTTCTAATAATAAAGTTTATCTCGAAGGATTACGGTTAAGTTTAAGAGAACAAGTAAATAAGGGCACCCTTATTGTGTGATATAAAAGTATAAGGTGCTTCAGCGAAAGATAATATTTTTAATTGAAGCGGAAAAAAAGTAATAATATTAAAAAAAAAGTTTAAATAAAAGAACAAACGACTTACCTGTAAAGAAGTTCCTTCTAAATGATATGAGTATACACGTTCAAATAGATATTACCATGAAGTATATTACGAGCAAGAGATATAGTGTGACTTTAAAACTGTAAAGCCAGCCGGTAACATACAAAAAAAAACTATGAAGATTGATAAATCACCTTTAAAAATAGTAGAGGAGCATTCAAGGGATTGAGTATATTTATTTTATTTTTACTTTCCTCGATAAAAGGGAAGTACTGTATTCGTGAAAATTTAGATTTTCACGTTTTCGGGTCCCTAGATTACGAAAAACTTGTTTTCTCCATTCCGTCGGTCTGTCTGTCGTCCGCGGTCTGTTGTCTGCCGTCTGTCTGTTGGCGCGATAGCTAAAAAAGGGCTTAAGAAAAAAACTTTAAATTTTTTATGCAAGTAAGGCTTCCTTTTGGCTCAAAACCCGTTATACTTCCGGTCAG